CCAAATAGGACGTGCATCCAAAATGACACCGCTACATAACCCCTCTAATCCTAAGCATACTCAGACCCGGGTATAGGGCCCCGCTCAAAGTGTGTGATAAATGTGTAAGTGGTAGTGTGTGAGGGAGCATACAAACCTTATCAACTCAACAAAAATAAAAAGCTGCAAAAATTAAACAACACAAGAATATACAAATTATCAATAGTCATCTACCCTAGGATTAATAACAATATCAATATGAGCATACAATGAGATTACGCAATTCATACACGAAATACATGCACTAATAAAAGAAACACTACAATTGACTCAAATAAATAAAAAAGAAAGGGATTAAACAAATAGAAACAAAATAAGACAAATTCGCACGATCAATTATCAAAGGCTTGACTCTCTAAGAGATTTCCCCAGTGGAGTCGCCATCTATCGCAACCGGGCGATCGCAACGGTATGACGGATGACAAACTTGTTCCAAAATATCAGAGGAGTCGCCACCAAAGTTTATTTTTAAGAAAAACCTTGGAAAAACTTAAATATAATACGATCTTTGAAACCAAAAAATGAGTTCGGGAGTCATTTACGTGTAGGGAAGGTATTAGCACCCTACAACGTCCGTTTAAAAAACGGTTACCTAAAATTAATTGTACAAAATTATTCTAATTTTAAAAAATATTTATTTAACCCCTAAACATTAATTATTTTATTTTAGAAGAAGAAATATTATTTATTGAAATATTATTCGGGTTATTTTAAAAAATATTTTGACTTGACGGGTACGGTTCCCGCTCCTACGTATCCCCGGATGCAATGGGGAACTCAAAGCCACGTAGTTCTATCTAAAAATTATGAAATTAGTTGATTATAATTAAGTTTAGTAAAAGAAAAATTTATTTTAGAATTAAAATCATTTTTCGTAAAAATTATAATGTTTAGGATACAAGATAATGCAGTTATACATGTACCCTACGAGAAAACAATACAGAAAGTGAAGGAAGATCACACAACTATACTGCAAATCATTAAGAAATATTTTATTCGTAAATGGAGTATTTGAATTTTAATTTTGATTATGATTAATATTGAAAGAAATTTAAGATAGCGTAAGCTATACATAAACTTCTTATAATTTATTAGACTATCGAAGGCAATGTAAATTACACATCGATATTATAAAAATTTATAAAATGAATAAATTATAGTAATTTAATTTATCAAAATTTGAAACATGACTTAAGAAAATAAAAAAAAATAATTTTATTTGAATTGATTAAAGAAGATACTCATTTAATAAAAAACATTAAAAATTTTATTTGATAGATTTATATTATATAAAACCTAAGGTAACGTTGGTACACATAGATTTTGACAATTTATAACGCATAAAGGTAGAGTCGCTACACATTAGCATTATAAATTATTTCTTAATAAAATAATTTAGATTTAAATTAATTGATTGATTTGTAAATTAGTATTTAGAAGAGAAATATATCTTGCATTATTATTAAAGTGATTAACTAATTAATTAATGACAATATGTGATAAGTTAATATTGCATAAAGTCTTGGTAACGTAGGTACACATAGACTTTATCAATTTATAATACATGACGATAGAGAAGCTATACGTTAGTATTATAAATTAATACAATTATATTATTATTTATTAATTAATTATAAAAAAATAAGTAATTTAGTATTCACAATATCAAATAAAATAATCATAAATATAAAATTAAATCGCATTAATATGATACAATTAAACAATAAATAAAATAAAAGATAACAATCCTAAAAAAGAAGATATAAATAATGAAATATAAAAAAGGAAATAATTTAAAAAAAATTAACTCAGATATGATATTGTAAAGTAAACGGTATCAAGAGATTTTAAATAAATAAAATAAAATAAAATAATTTAAACAAAGTTAACATAAAAAATATAAATTAAATAATAAAAACTCATTCATTAAATAAATTAATAATTATCATAATAACAAATAATAATGATGATGAATAAATAAATAAAACTAAAACAATAAATTATATGTTGAACTAAATAATGATAAAAATAAAATAAATAAAAAATTCAGACAAAAAAATAAAAAAAGGATAAAATGGTCTCAAATTTTAAATTTTCAGATTTGAGAGGGAAGGACTTTAGGGTTAGGGGTGTGCTTTTCTCCAAGAAAAATGAGAAAAAGGTTATGAAAAGGTGGAGGTGAGGTTAATGGAGGCCATGATTTTGAGTGGTGAAGGTTATTGAGAGCAAAAGGAAGAGGAATGAGACAAGGTAGGGAAAGAGTTTTTTTATGGTGAGTTTTGTGTTTGTAGATGATGATAGATGGAGGAGTGGGTGGAGAGGTGGTGAGACATGGATATTTGAAATGGTGGTTTAAAATATTTTTTTATCATTTGAGATTGATTTGATATAGGAAATGTTTATTCAAAATATAAATATGTATGAAGAAGAAGAATGTGTAAAATGTACGATGAAGCTTACTTGATGTTCTTGAAAATTTTTGCTTGCCTCTTATTCTTCCTCCTTTCCACTAACCTTTCTTTCTCTCTATTTTCTCTTTTTCTCTCCCCGTTTTAGAATGCCTCCTCTCAAAAAATTTTTAGCCTCCTCTGATATCTCCCCCTGCTCCATGGTCCTTTTTTCCTTTTATTGTTAGGGTTTTCACAAAAGGCCCAAAATTCTGAATTTTTCCTTTTTTATGTATAAAGTAACATTGGTTCAAGAATTTAATTATTTGTCATATTCTATTTTCCTTTTAAAAATTAATTCTGAAATTTTCCTATTTTATTAAGACAAATTTTTATTTTATTTTATTTTTTTTAAACCTTTTTATTCCATTCTTCTTTTGTAATATTAAAATTCAGATTTTTTTATTTTTATTTTTTCATTTTTATTTAAAAATAAAAAATAAAAAATTTAAATCAAAATTTTAGTGTTCACAGCCCTTATTTTCGCTTAAGTCATTTACATTTCGCTTAAGCCATTCATATTTCGCTTAACCATCCAAAAATAGGCTCAAGCCATTAGCATTTCGCTTAAGCGAATACAGATTAGCTTAAGCGAATTCAAGGCTTGTGCATCAGTGCTCTCTGTCCCAAATTCGCTTCATTTTAAGATGGCTTAAGCGATAAAGTTGCCTGAAAATCCTAATCCTCTGTCCAAAATTTGCTTAAGATTAAATATATTTGCTTGGGATGAGCGGAGCAATTTTATATTCGCTTAAGCCATGAATTTTCGCTTAAGCGAGGATTCACTAACCTCGCTTGGACTCGGTTTGAAGCCTAGATCCTATAATTCTGCCGCTTAAGCCATAAATCACCGCTTAAGCGAAAATTCACTTAAATTCGCTTAAGCGAATGACGACAGGAGGGTCATGTTCCCGCCAGAACATGAGAGGATCCGTATCCCCTCCCTCTCCCCTAAGATAAACCTTCTCAAACTAGTTTTATTTATCAATTGCTAATTATCTATCTTTCTTTTCTTAACTTAATTAATTTTTCTTTCCATTTATATATATATATTCAGGAAACAACTCTCCTTCCTAAAGGTGTATGTGAAGATAGATAGGAAGCATAGAAGCTTCATGTGGACAGACACGTGTTATAAAAAAGACTCATTTGATATATTTAATACATTTTTATTATTAAACATGGTGAGTTAGGTTGAAAATACAAATTAGGTCCTTATAATGAAAATAGGATAGTCTTATTCATACAAATTTGGTCTTTATGATGAAGGCACATGTTGTATTACAAATAAAATTTATGGGCACAAGTTAAGAGGAATAAATATAAATGTGATTATTTACTTTACCAAATTCAAAGTTAGCATGGTGAATTTAACTTTGAAAAGTTTAGAATAATCTAAAATCATGTTAAGTATTTTTTTTTTTTTTAACATAATACTAATATGAGTATCTTTTGAATATTTAACATAATTGTATTTATTAAGATTTAAACTTGAGATTATAAAATAAAGTTGAAAATTTTCTTATTAGTTGTTTCCCATGTTTAATAATAAAAATGTATTAAATATATAATTTATTTAAATATTTTTTAATAATTTTTTAACTAATGATTTATGTAATTTAATGATAAAAATTATTAAAATCAACTAAATTTTTAGTCCTCTGTTTCATACACACACAAAAAGAAAAACAGCTATAAAAATGAAGAAATAAAATAAGTTATTTAAAGTTGTTAATGAAAGTAAATAGTCTTTTTGAAGTTGTCATTTCTCTTTCCAGTGACAACATCATCTTTCTATACCAGTATGAAAGTTGCCATTGGGAAGAGTTGGTAATTGCAAAAATTTCCGAATCTAATCTATATGTCACAGAAAAATGACTGCTAATATGGAGTTGAAAATTTTACAAACAACGCCTCAAATTGATTTTATTTTATTTTTATCTTATTCCAAATTTATCTACACACGATTGTTGCTAGGGACTAAGTCAAATTCATAGATACATCTAGTTCTCATTCCATTATTGTACTCTAGAGTGAGTGTAGCAAACCACTTTACCTCCCAAATATTGAGCGCAGACTTCACCTTGCCTCTCTAAGCACAACATTCTTTATAAGTAACATCAATAAATCTCAGCTTTAATTAATTTATCATCAAATCTAACGGCTAAAACCTTCTGATGTATAAGTCATTTAATGCTAATTCATGTTAGACGCGGTCAAAATTATAATACTATTATATATGATCAGAGTACTCTTTCCTATCATTAAAAAGATTAATTTTGGTAAAATAAGCATTTTAAAATATTGTATAATAGACAAATCTTAATATATTCAAAATAATGTAAGTTGTTGTAACTTGTCAGCAAAAGCTTCTATTTCCATAGCCACTCCGTGTTGGTTTTACATTCTTTGCGTGGCAACTTGTGCATCTCAGGAAATCCCACCTTTTGGATAATTCCCCAATAATCTGAGGCTCCCAATTTTCTCAATTCACCATCAATAACACAAAAAAACAAACTCATGCATAACATACAGTGTAAAATACCAATACGCTAAACTCAAAAAACCCCTTCATTTTCATAAGCCAAAGCCCACAGGGCACTAGAATGTTGTGAACTACTTTGTTTCAACAAAAGACATGGAAACCAAGCACTGATTATGCGAATTTCATAGTTTTGGACCAAATTAGGAATACCCATAAAGGAAAAAAATGATCTTGCTGACTCAACAAGCATACCCACTTTTCATCTCTTCTTCTACCTACAAGTCCAACCCTCCATTGTATCACCATGTTCAACTTCATGTTGGTTTTGGTGTGCTTAACCCATTTTCCCAAATGTCCATTTATGAAGGAAGGTCTTGGAGGAGGGGGAGGAAGTGGAGTAGGTGTTTCTCTTTTTCATCTGCAACACCACAGGCTCCATTGCCACCTGACCCAGATAAGGTTTGTTTACTTGAGTTGTGTTGTTGTTACTGTTTATTTGGATAGTGTGAAAGGTTTGGTTGATGAACAGTGTTGAAAAGTTGGAAAATTTGTGTTGGAAGTGCAGGAAAATGGGCAAGTTGAGGAAGAGAGTGATGGTGTAATTGCTGCACAGGGTAAGAGTCCTGATCTGCAGATGCTGTTTAGAAGGTTCTGGAAGGTGGCAGCTCCTTATTGGACTTCAGATGACAAGGTGCAAGCAAGGTTGCAGTTTGCTGGTGTTTTTGCTCTCACTTTGGCTACCACTGGAATCAGTGTTGGTTTCAGTTTCTTGGGGAGAGACTTTTTCAATGCACTCGCAAGTAGGTTCATCTGTTTGGGCATGTGCTGTTTGCTTTATATATATATATATATATATGAGATTTTCTGCTGTTTTTGTTTAGTTGACTATTTACTGTTGTACGAAGTGCAACAAGAAACTGAAACTTTTTAATTAATGCAAGACAAGGATCAAGAGCAATTCACAAAGCAACTACTTTACTACCTGTGTGGCTTTGCTGGAGGAATCCCGGTGAGCAAATTGCTGCACTTTATTAGGTATAGCTCTGCTAGACTTTGCTTTAGTTCTTAGAATGACATGTACTGTCATAAGATGAAAAGAAACACCATGGAAAAGAGAACTAACATACATGAGTTAAAACATGAGTTTGACAACCATGGACCATGGTCATAACAATTATTCTTAATCTTCAAGGAAAATGCTAACGAGTGCTGTAATGGCGCCGGTTAAGGAATCAAAAGTATAATTTTTTTTATTGGAAAACAAAATAATGCACTCATCCTGTGATTTTCAATGCATTTCAATGTGATTCTCAGTAAAACCTTATCATTTATTGATTTCTTAACTAGCACCTTAAGGCACTGGTTAGCAAAACCCAATTTATTATTGGTCTTAAAATGGATGAATTGCTGGATTTAATACTGAGTACATGAAGATTGTAGCCCAAATAAATAGGAAAAATAATGTAAAACCACATGACTACTGTTCTATAGCAATTTTGGTTAGGTTTCTTAGTTATTGGCTTGGTTGTTTTTGAAACAGTCTTCAACAGATTTTATCATGGTATGTAAAATGATCACATTGATGTTCCATACCTTTCTCTTCTTTTTCAGAACTTTTGTGATCATAAATAGAAACAAGATTTATGGATGCCCTTTCTGTATTTTTTGTTTCTTTTGGTTTGTCATGCCTCATTCCATCCTTCTATAGGTGTTTCTAAACCCTTTCACCATTGCATTGCTTTGCAGTTTTTTGTATTGAGAGATTATGCAAGAGAAACTCTTTCTTTGAGATGGAGGTCTTGGATGACAAGCTATTACATGGATCGTTATCTGAAGAATCAGACTTTCTATAAAATTCAGTCACAGTCAATCATTGATAATCCAGACCAGCGAATTGTTGATGATCTAAGTTCTTTCACTGGGACATCCCTTGCTTTCTCCCTGACACTCTTTAATTCTGCTGTAGACTTAATCTCGTTCAGTAACATTTTATATGGAATCTATCCTCCGCTCTTTGTTGTTCTTCTCGTATACTCGATTGGTGGGACAGCTATCAGTGTTTTCCTTGGAAGGGTAATGGGTCTTTCTTTCCTATTTTAGTGGTAGTTTAAATTGTGAGGCAAAATCATCACTTGTCCCCTAGATAACTAAGAGGGCCTCTAAGATAGTTCCATTTTTTATTAACGGGAAATTATGAAAATGTCAGGGACTGGTGTCTTTAAATTTCTTGCAAGAGAAAAAGGAAGCAGACTTTCGTTATGGACTTGTACGTGTCAGAGAAAATGCTGAATCAATTGCTTTCTATAGTGGTGAAGAAAGTGAAATGCAACTTCTTCTGCAGCGCTTCAGAAGTGCTTTTGAAAATCTGACAGTGAGATAATTTATTCTTTATGATTACTTATTTACTTTTAAAACTACTATTGTACAAGATGTTACCGGTATCTATGTTCAGACCAATTCGCTAGTCTAGTGTTTTTATGGCAAATATATGCCCTTCTTAAATTGCAAGATTTTGCATAATCAATATAAGTAAGCAGCATTTAAGGTAAAGTAATACTGTTGCATCTGTTTTCTTTTGCTTCACTGAAAAAACTGGATCAATATGCATTATCTTGGCTTCGATGTATACATAGTTGACAGAATATTACATTTGAAAGCTAAGCATGACTATTTTTTCATAGTCATGTGAAGTGTGGACTGACCAGATTCTGAGAATTGCCTGACTCTGTTAAATATCAATGTAACCTTGTTGGAACATCCTTCTTTTTTCTTTATTACGTACTGTAGTTTTTATCCTCTAACTTGTGATAACATGATGATGAAGATGAACACTGTAACTTTTTGTTTCTTACTTCACAGCAATTGTTGATTGCTTCTAGAAATCTAGAGTTCTTCACCAATGGCTACCGCTATGTCATTCAAGTTCTTCCTGCTGCTGTTGTTGCTCCCATGTATTTCTCAGGAAAAATTGAGTTTGGTGTCATCAATCAGTCTGTATCTGCTTTTAATCATATCCTCAGTGACTTTTCCCTCATTGTGTACCAGTTTCAAGCCATAAGTGCTTTTTCTGCTGTTATTAATCGCTTAGGTACTACATTCTTTTTCCCTTACCTTTCCTATACACTTCAATATATGTAGATTGCATGAAAGATATGAACATAAATGAATGAGGTATGAAGTTTTACTCAGCAGAAAGAGAGAGCCTTTTTGGTACAGTTTGTGGTTATGTTTGCACATACACAAATAAAAGATCCCAGAAAAGAAAAGAGAATAGTACGATACATTAAAAATGTTATTTGTGAGACAACTATAACCGTCAATATCTGTGTATATTGTCCACCCTGCATTTCTCCATTCCTATAATTGTGCAGATTTGTACTAGCTTAATATAATTCTTGGGAAACAGAACAGCTCAATAGAATGGGAAAGTTACTTAAATTTTTTTTCTTATTTCTGTTTCATTTTTTTTTATTGCTATACCCCTTTCTTTCTCTGTTTTGACACTTTTTGTGCACTGCAGTTTGTGTTGCAAGTATGCAAGTATATTCCTGTCTTTGTGATGTTTACCTGTTCCATCTGTGGTCTTGTGTATGCACCATACTTCTGAACCTTTCTTTGATCCATCTACATGTATATGCTTGAGAGGCTAGCATTGTCGCTTTGAATGTAATGAACACTACTGACTAATATATACTATATATGCAGGTGAATTTGATGATGTATTGGACAGAAGCAGCTCTAGATCTCTCTCTGATACTTTGGAAGGCATACATATTACATACAAAGATTTTAGGACTTCATCTGCTTTGGAATCTAATGGATCCACTCCACCAGAAAAATATGCAACATTACTAGAGATAGAAAATTTGATTCTGAAGACACCAAGTGAATCTACACTTATTAGAGACCTGTCGTTGACAATCAAGGAAAAGGATAATTTACTGGTAAGACATCCACTGGCCCCTCACTCGCCAACATGTTACGAAGTTTAGGTTTGTATTATTAAGTTCATAGACTGCAGGGCTTTACAATGGCAATCTTAAATATAATCTATTTTACAGGTAATGGGGCCAAGTGGAAGTGGCAAGACTTCTTTGTTAAGAGCTTTGGCTGGTTTATGGAGAACCGGAACTGGAAAGATCATATACTATATAAAAGGTAGAGAATATCCCGAGGAATTCATTAGTTCAAATGCGAATACTCCTTTAGTAAATAATGCTCATGACACAGGTGATGAACATGGAAAATATCTAAGTAGAAAATCCAGGATTTTTTTCCTTCCTCAAAGGCCATATATGGTTTTGGGTACTCTCCGTCAACAATTACTTTATCCAACTTGGGCTGATGATGTGGTTCCCATGTCAGATAGTACTGAACAAAAAAGTATGTGATTTCTAGTCCTTTTTCACCACACGCCTAAATATATTGTTTTTAGTTATTATGCAAATTCTGTACTTTTTTCTTAATTAAAAACACGTCTTTTGGGGTGCTCTATTTATCTACATCTCATTTCCTCTATTGCAATTTTTTACTTTTGAGACCTGAGACAATAGTACTACTGTAGCCTAACATATATTATGATGAAGTGATGAGGATGCATATTTTTCTGCAGAAATGCCCTTGTATTTTTTGCTGGCAGACTTTATAAAAGAAAGGCTTAATAGGAAATATGAAATTATATGATTGTTAGGCATAAAGTATTATTAGCTAAGTTCTTTTGAACATGCAACTATGACGTGACTTCTAAATAAGATAACTGTTGGTATGTCTTTTGTAAACTCTGCCTGCCTACACAAAATTAATCTAACATTTAATTAAACCTAATCAACACCTTTTGAATCTTCATCAAAGAAACATTTCTTGAAACTGAACATTGAGCTCAACAAAATAGAGGAGCTCTAGCTGTCCAGAATCTTGCAATAAACCCTTTTAATTCCATGTTAGCTGTTAGCCAGACAGTTGATCTTGGTTGTTCTTTGGAAAATTAATGCTTTTGGTTTGTCTCAACCCAGGTCCATGAATGTAAGTTCTTCTGTATGCTTTTCCCCTTCAAATAGAATCCAGACTTATAATCAAGTGAACAAGTACAATCAAAATGATTAATTCATCTTTCTTAACAGTACTTGTTTACCAATTATTGTTGAAGAGCTGAATTAGTCACATAACACTAATAAAATAAATGCTGCTATTTTATTTGATTGAATAAAAATTTCTTCCTAATTTACATCACTGTTATATTATTAGTCGGTTGGCTGGAATTGTGTAAGCTTTAGTGATTCAGTGTAAAAATTGGTTGCAGATGTGCTTCCTTTCTTGACAAATATGTCCGACTCAGATAATATGAATGATAAACCAACGAAGCCAACAACGGATGAGCTAATAAAGGTCTTAGAGGATGTCCGTCTTGGATATTTATTGGCTCGTTTCAGTTTGGATTCAACACATGAATGGTCTAGTGTTCTTTCTCTGGGAGAGCAGCAACGCCTTGCATTTGCTCGTCTTTTGCTTTCAAAGCCTCAATTAGCTTTACTGGATGAATCTACAAGTGCACTTGATGAAGCCAATGAGGTATTGTTGAATTTCAAGTTCACCTGGCATGTATAGGCATGTGTTATATCATATGGCAGTTCTTGTTATTCAATAAAATGACTTTCCCATTGTTATTCATCATTTCAATATAATTTACCATACTGATATAACTGGCTATATAATATACATGTTTGGGTTAGCATATTATTTGTTTGGAAAAGTATATTATCAAAATGCTGCATAGAAAGAACTTTCAGCTGAAAGGTATTTATGTAAGTTCAACAAAAACCAAACATACTGGAGATATATTGTAAAGGGATCTAAAAAATGTATGATTTTGATCAATGTTATAATTAATATACGCCTTCATATTGTGCTGAAATTCAATTTCTTGTGCTTTTTGGCTTACAGGTTCATTTGTACCGAAAGATTGAAGCTGCAGGCATCACTTACATCAGCATTGGGCATCGGTCAACCTTATATGACTACCACAACAAGATCTTACGCATATCCACATTTGATTCTAACAATGAACAGCTAAATTGGTGCCTTGAACCCACTGGATCTGAATCCTCTTTAAATTTTACAAAGCTATGATTGTTGGGGGCTTCAGAATTGATTGCAATGCTTTGATGCTTACCATCTTTAAGGGACATGCCTGGTTCAATTTTATTGTACAATAATTTTGATGTATATGGATGTCAATCTGTAGATTTTCCCCTGCAACTAGCTGCTATAACATTCAAATTTTATGCACTGGTTGATAGAATCACTACTAGGAGAATGTTGCTTTAAGTTTAGGAGGATTGCTGTTTTCATTTCATAAAATTTTGAATGTATCTTAAGAGTGATTCTTGTGTTAATTTAGTGTACCTAGTTCAGTCAAGATATGCTAAAGGCGTCTGGAAGAACTCATGAAGAACTTGCTAATAATTTATAACTTATTTTCCCTTTATTTCAGTAAGCTTTGTTATATCAAAATAAGTTGTTTTCAACTTATTCTCAAAATTTAGTCAAATTTATGATATAAGCTTTCGTATAAAAGGAATTTACTATGTGCTTAATTAAGGTATCATGTATTATTATCACGTGTTATAGTCAAAACAAATAATAATGTTTGTTTAATAAGAAATAATGGTGTTAATACTTTAGTGTATCTTAGTGCATCACATTGTTGACCGGCTAGTGTATTTATTCTGTGTTGGTCTTTATGTAACACAATTTAATTAAGTATTTATTCATAAAATCTTGCTACAGATAAGCTATGATGAGAAGTTTATTGAAATAAACTGAAAAAAATTATGAAAATTATAAGTAGTTTTCATAAGTTCTTTATAAGTTTTTTCAAATGCTCTCTTATTCAATAATTTTAATATCCTCTTTCAAGATTCAAATTAAAAGACTTCCTATTTTTCAGAAATTAATTTGAAATTTCACTCAATAAAAAATTGTTTAAATGTATTCTTAATTCATATTAATATACTAAATTTTAGTTTTAATTCTCCTAAAATTTAAGTTTTTCTTTGTTTTCTTTGAATTTAGATTCTTTCATGTTTTTTAGTAACTTGCTATAATTATAATCATGTCAAAAGAGAAAGACATTTTTTATCAAATAAGTTCTATTAATTAAATTTGATAAAAAAAAAAAATTCAACATGACCATTTCATGTTACTTTATAATTAAGTAGATCCAAATCCATCTTCTTTAAGTTTATGTATATGTCATCTAGATGATATCAAAGTCATTTATAATATTCTAACTCGTACATTCATTTTCTTCCCCTTCTCGTTTCCTCTCTTATTTTTGTCATTAAGCTACTAAAAATATTTGATAAACAGAAAATAAAATAAGTTTATAACTTTTAAATTGAAATTATAGTTTTTAAAAGCTAATTTATGAAAAAAAAGAAGAAGAATAATAGTAATTTTTAGCTTATTAGAAAATAACTTTTAATATTTTTTTCATTTTTACTCTTAAATTTTTAAATAAATAATACTAACTCTTTCTTTTTAGTTATTTAACGTATTTCAATTTATTGTAGTAGTTTTATCAAACAATTCTAATTGGATTAATTAGTTATAGAAAGAGAAATGTGTGAAAAAATGACTTGATTATATTACAGATTGTGTTTATACACACACATTGTAGTACAATTGTGATCCTATAATGTAGCTAACAGTAATTATAATGAATAAATATATGGTAGGAATTGATCATGATAGCTACGCATTACAGGGACCAAGTCATGGCATAATATCAAGGATATTAACAACAAAATATCAATGTCTAATTATTAGGATAATAACTTTCTCTAACTCCCCCTCTCAAACTGATGGTGATATAGTCATCCCAAGCTTGTCTCTCCAAATGTTAAACCTTATTGTGACTTGATTTTGAAGCACTTGATCACGTATGTAGTGGACATCTATCTCAATATGTTTGGACCGAGCATGCATCACTGGATTGGATGCCAGTGCCTTGGCACTCAAGTTATCACACCACAAAACTGGTTTTCTGGCATAGGAAGTTTCGGCTCACCTACAAGTGATATGATCCAAGCTACTTCTGCTGCTAGATCAACCAAAGCTCTATATTCTGACTCAATACTTGACCGTGACACCACTTTTTGTTTTCTTGAGTCCCACGAGATTAATGTCTCTCCAAGGAACACACATTGCCCTGCCATGGATTTCTTGTCATCTATGCTTGTGGCCCAAGCTACACTAGAGAACCCAACAATATCAAGATCAGTTGAGGGTTTGATATGAAGGCATAAATTTGGTGTGCCATGGAGATATATATGTATTCTTTTTATTCCTTGCCAATGATCTATGGTTGGGGAACTCATATATTGGCTGAGTTTGTTGACAGAAAATGATATGTCTGGCCGAGTGTTGGTTAGATACTGTAATGCACCTATAACCTGTCTGTATAGTGTAGGGTTAGCAATAGGTTCTCCTTCAGCAGTGAATTGTTTCCCTGATACCATTGGTGTGGGGCAGGATGAAGCTTTTTCCATATTAAACTTCTTGAGCAGGTCTCTAATGTACTTTGTTTCAGGTACATTCCACCAGAATCTCTGTGTACTTCAATTTCCAAGAAGTAGTGTAGAAGGCCTAAGTCTTTAAGAGAGAAAGCAATGTTTAGTTGAGTAATGAAGGTCTCTAGAAACTTGTTGTTGCTCCCTGTTACTATTATGCCATCAACATAAATGAGGAAGAGTACGATATGGTCAATTCCTCTAAGGACAAACAGTGATGAATCACTCTTGGTGTTTTAAAACCCCCATTCTAGTAGAGTGTCCTTCAACCTGTCATAGCAAGCCCTTGGGGCTTGCTTCAGGCCGTAGATTGCCTTGGTTAATTTGCATATGTGATTAGGCTTGGTTGAATCTATATATCCTTCTGGTTGATGCATAAACACAGTTTCTTTAAGATTGCCATTCAAGAATGCATTGTTTATGTCTAATTGCCTAACAACCCAATTTAAATGTACTGCAATGGATAGGACAATTCTTACAGTGCTGGATTTGATAACTAAATTGAAGGTCTCATCATAGTCCATACCTGCAGTTTGTTGAAATCCTTTGGCAACTAATCTTGCTTTCCTTGTCTCAATTGAGTCATCTACCTTGTACTTAGTTTTAAAGACCCATTTTTAGTCTATGATATTATTCTGCCCCTGAAATGGTACCAATGTCCAAGTGTGATTAGTTGCTAGAGCTTTAAATTCTGTGTCCATGGCTGTTTTCCATTTCAGACTGGCAAGTGCTTCATTAACATTTTCTGGTAAGTGCTACAAATTTATGAGAAAAAGGAGGAACATATAAGGATGGAGTTGAAACCGCCACCATCAAAAGTATCTCCTAGAATTAAAGATCATAAGGTATCAAGTTAGTGACATTAAAATAGCGCTGTGTGAGAGACTACTCATTTTTTTTAGAAGTTTTCAATTTATTTCCTGCATTCAATAATGGTCTTGAATTTGAGTTTTGGATATCTCATAAATTTTGCTACATAAACATTATAGTCTGCACTTAACTTTGTTATTTGACATGTGTTTCTGCATAATTCTGAATTTTGTAGAGGAAGAACACAAATTTTGGACCCAATTTTTGCTTAAAATCAAGAGAAGATCAAGTGCAACAGGAGAGTAACCACTTTCAAATCTTAAGGTAGTCACTTTGGTGAGAAAAAAAATGAGTTTATCATGAAGGTAATCACTTTTCCAAGCAAAAGTAGTTATTCTCAGCCCAGGTATGTATCTTTGTTCTTTGTAGTGAGTACTTACATAGCTGATAGTAGTTATTTTCAAGGCACTTTCACAATTGCATAAGATGCGTGCTCTCTGTAGTGGTTACTTTTGTGAACCATAGTAACCACGCAGAGCACTTTTTGAGCAAATATGATGCGCGTCTCTACTATTGTGAACCATAGTACCCACGCACAAGCCTTTTAAGCAATTTTTATTATTGGCGCCCCTGTAGTGTTTACTATCACTTACGAAAGTGATCACTTTATGCTGAAATTTTTTGAAACATAGTGATTACTCTAGGACAATTTTGTGCTATGAAATTTTGGGCTGCTATATCATTGTGTTTCTCCACTTTGCATCTACTATGCCATGAGAAATTGAATCAATGTTGCTTAAGTGAGGCACAATCACATAGTGCACACACATCCCTGTAAAAAATCTATCATAGTGTTCACTTTGTGTGTTTGTGTGTGTGTGAGAGAGAGAGAGTTTTTAAAACCAGAAGTAACTACTTTGGACTGCACTACACATCTTCTGCATGACTTTTCTGCAAATTGCTACATAAACCTTGCCTGTGACCTGCATTTTTGTTGACAACTGCATTTCTCTGCATTGATTGCACCTATATTTGAGTTGCTGCTGCATAAGTACCATGACAGGTTCAAATTCCATAGTAGTTACTATCATTTATGAAAGTGATCACTCTGCACTGCATTTTCTTATGCAAACATTGCATATTTGCTATACATATGCCTGATGCCATCTGCACATAATCTAACATGCAATTTGCATCCTTGAAATGCTTTGTGACTACTTTGCTACATTAAATATGTCATGCTTGCACCTTAAAGTAATCACTATCATTGAGCATTGTGTTTACTTTGACATTGCACTTCTTCATAGTAACCATTCTTAATTGTATTTTCACTATGAATTTGGACATAATTTTGAAGTTGTCATTACTGTACTCACATAATTGTTGCTGCATTATATTGCATCTGCACTTCTATACTTTGCAGCATCAATTTTTTTGAAATTCCTTACACCCACCCAGAAATACCCCAAGAACTAAAGATGCATGATTGCTAGAACACCTTTCTCCTTTTAAGCTCCTCAGAGAAGGAAGAAAGAGAGGATGCATTTGATAGTCTTTCTTCCTCTAGCTCAAATGAAAATCTAATTTAGTTTTTAGTTTCCCTTATGTTATTTACTTTTTAGTTATTTTTATTTCATTTCCTTGTAATTATTACACTTTATCGCTTTTCTTTTCTTGCTTTACTTTTACCTTACTACTTTATTTTTGAATAGTTACTTGACGCTTTCATGCTTTTATATATAATTATCAGTGCAATTTTCATACTTCCTTTCTATGTTGAATCCATTGTGCATCTTTGTGCAGAGAATGCCCTCAGTCCTATCAAGAGGAGCATGAATTTGATCTCTAAAATCACAAAACCTCCCCTTTTACTTACTTTCTGAATATATTGCACACTACATGTTTAATATTTGGTTACTCATCCAATGATTCATAGGAGACAACCTAGGTTAGTACCTTAGTATTTACATTAATTTCTATTTATATTTTGATGAAAATTTGTGACAAATCTCCGATCATCATAGATATGTGATAAATCCACATTTTATTACATTTTTAGCTTAGTTTTTGTTAGTAAATAAGCTGTTAAATATTAAATAAACTTGAAAATACTATAAAAATTGCATTTATATTCATAATTATGTAAATAGTTTAGAATTTTAGATTTTATTCTAATTTTAGAACAATTCTGCTTAGAAAAACTTAATTTTGTGTAGAAACTTGAGCTGAAAACTTTAAAGTTGAGATTTAATTGAAGAAAGTGGAAGAATTGAGCTTAAAACATTAAGAATCAAGTGATCTGTGCTAGGCGTAGCAACTTTGGGTGCATAGAGTTAATACTTTGAAGAAGGAAATCCATAAAGATCAATTGCGTAACAACTCTAAATGCTAAAAGTTATCACTCCAACAACATAATTCATGAAGGGACTTGCGTGTAAACATTTTTCCTAATGTAAGTATCAACGCCTAAGGCTAATTCACATAGAAAGCTTGCTAGAAGCAACTCTTGGTGTTGAAAGTAGCTACGCGCAAGGTTAAAATAGATAACAGACTTGCGTGTAACAATTCTGGGCAGTGAAAGTACCAACGCGTAGTTGCGCATAACCACTCTAGCTATTGAAAGTAGCTATGCGCAAGGAAAATTCACACAAAACACATGTGCATAGCAACTCTTGCTATTGAAAGTGTCTACGCTCAATAACAGAATTTGGAAAATCACTTTTAAGTGTCAACTTTGGACGTTTAGAGTTTTTACCTCAGCCTTAGAAGCTTCTGGAAGGCCTTCGACGTTACAACTCTCAATGATTAAAAGTGTTAACGTGGAAAGAGGCAGGAAAATATATAAATAACAGTTGAGAGTACAGATTTGGGATCTTTTGTCATTTTTTTATTTTCATTTGTTTTAACTTCCTAAGAAAGCTAGAGAGAGATTGATGGTGACTTTCAAGTTTCATTTCTAGAGGAATCAAGGTGAAGATTAGATTTTTGAAGATGTTCTTCTGCTCTTTGTTTTCTTCTTTTTTTGCTTCTCCTTCTCCATTTGTAATGTTGTTCTAAACTTTTTTTTGTTAGGGATCTATGGATCCAAATTTTATATTATGATGTAATTTTAGATCAGAACCTTGAGATTTTAATTTAATTGAGTATTTGATTCCATTTTTAATGCAATTGTTAGACTGATCATTCATTCAATTGAACTTAGAAGAATCTTCATTAATGAAAATTGAGTTTATTTTTCATATCTGAATCATATGCCTAAGTTATTGACACCTTAGGAATAAGTTATCATAATCTAGTAATCCTATAATTTTCAGAACTTAATGCAATATTTGATTGAATTTCACCTAAGGAATTAGGGTGGTTTAATTAGGTATTAGGATCAACAAGACAATGGATTGTCCTTCGGTTAAATAAGTGAAATTAATTATCAATCAATTAAAATTTTTAAGAGTCCAGAATATTATTACATTGGAATTGAAAATCTGGTGAAATGATTCCTAACTATTTTTCATATAGCATTTTTAATATAAAATTCGTATTCTGTTTTACAACACATTTGTTATTTTCTACTGTTCTTATTTCTTATTTTTACATATTACAAATCTTCCAAATGAATTGTGTGCTCAACTAATTGTCAAATTGTGAAGTGGTAATTAAAAATATAGATCTGTTTGATACTTGGGACTCATATTGATTTCTAAATTTTATTAGTTGCCACAACTATCTAGTACACTTACTAGTTAGTAAATTTTACGCAAAGTACATTGGTGTATTCTAAGCGTGAACAAGTTTTTAGCATCGTTGTTAGGGATCTTTATTTTTTAATATCATTAGTAGCATGGAGACAACTAGATTGAGCTTTTTATTTTTTGTTTTCTTTTAATTCTATTTTTATAGACTTAAAATTAGTATTAATTTTTTATAGTTTTCTGTGCACTATTGTTGTTTAGTTCTGTATAAACTCTGTAATATTTTAATGTGTTTAGTATAAATGTTTATATGCTAGTTTACTTTCTTAACTTCTTTTAGAATATTCTGCTAGTAGCATTTCTGCAAAATACTGTCTTTTGTTTTGATCATTTTTGTGTTTTTGTTTGTGCTTAGTTTTCTTGTGTTTTATGTGTAGGAAAAATAAAAACAAATTTGCTCTTGTGTTTGATCAGAATATAGACAAAACTTTAAGAAGGCTGAAAAATGAATTAAAAGGAGAAAATTCAGCAAGTAAAGAGCAATAATTAGAGTCTACATCTTCTACTCCTAAATCCGAAGAACTTTAAATTCCTTCTCCTACACCACCAACACTTTAAGAAGTAAGAATGGTTGAACAGAACAGGCTGAGAACTTTAAGGACTTATGTTGTACCTGACATACATGGATACAATTCCTCTATAGTCAGACCAACAATATAGGCCAACCATTTTGAAATAAAACTAGCTTTACTTCACTTAGTTCATCAAGATCAATTTTCTGGTTCAATTTCTGATGACCCTAACTTACATATTTCTAAATTTTTGCAGCTTTGTGACACAATTAGGATGAATGGAGTTAGCGAGGATGCAGTTAGATTAAGATTATTTTTATTTTCTTTAAGAGACAAAGTTAAATGATGCCTGCAAGCTGATGAATCCATATTTTGACTGATATTTTAGCATAATTCTAACACAAATGATAAGAAAAATATATAAAGAAAGCAGAAAAACTTAGAAAAAGAGAAGGAATTGAATTTTGTTTACATATGTAGTTATTTTAGCAATTGTGAAATTTTTGCTTAGGAATTAAGTTTTTAATCTTGTTTTTGTAGGAATAAATTGAGCAAGGATCATATTCATGGAAGTTTGATGACAAGGAAGAGGAAAGAAGCAAGTCTGGACTCCAAAAACTCAAGAATAAGAAATTGCAGACTGGGCGTGATCACTATTGTCAGTGAAAGTGATCACTTCAGAGCTCAAAGAAGAAGTGAAGTCTGGGCGTTACCACTTTTATCATTAAAAGTGATAGTTCCAGAGAGGCAAAATATCAGGAAAGCTCTGCGTAACCACTATTGTCATCAAAAGTGATCGTTCCAGAGAGTCTTCAACTTGGCGAACTGCGCGTAGTCACTTTTATCAGAAAAAGTGATAACGCGCAACTACCTTGGCTCTGCGTTGTCACTTTTATCATCCAGAGTGATAGTTCCAGAGAGTTCTCAATATCAGAAAAATGCGCGTGGCCACTATTTCTGGGAAAAGTGTTAACACGCAACCAAAAACTCTCTGCGTAACTACTATTTCTCATAAAAGTGATAACGTGAAAATCTGGGAAATTTTATAAATACCAGAAGCGATCCGGAAAAAAGGGATTCTGTTCATTTTCAGTTTTTTTAGTTAGTTTCTGGTTAGAGGAAGTGAGAGAGATGAGTGGGGATTCAGATCTTGGAGCTTCACGAAGAGGAATTGGAGTGGAGCAAGCTTCCATGGCGTTTCTGAGTTTCTTCTTCTCTTCTTCTCTTTCTTTTTCTTCTTCTGCTGCCATGGCTGTGTAATTCGTTCATAGTTAGGGATTGTAGATCTGAAATGAACATGTTGAATTGATTTGGATCTGGATTTCAAGCTTTGGAATAGATTGAGTGATTGATTCTGAACTTCACGTGTGAATTGAATGGAAATTTGATTAACTAAATCCAGAGGAACCTTTGTCAATGGAAATTGAATTTGTTCTTCAGATCTGAACCAATCACCGAGATTTTAGTTTTCTTAGGAATAAGGAACTTTGATCTTGCAATATTTTGGTTTCTTACACTTAAAGCAACATTGAATTGAATTAGATCTAAGGAATTAGAATGGTTTAATTGAATGTTAGGTTCACTGAGTTAAGGAATTAACCTCTGAATAGTATAAAGTGAAACTGATTGTCATTCTTTCCAATTGCTTGTTAATTCAGAACTTTATTGATTAAACATTGGAATTTTGGTGAAGCAATTCTCTAGCTATAGTTTCTCCCTCTGTTATCACATAACTGTGTGTTCATTGTCTTGTTTTCTGCAAGTTCATTTTACTTTTAATTGTTCCAGTTTGCTACTGTTATATGTTACAAATCTCATTCCAAAATTCGTATGGCTCAAATGGTTATAATTCTGTGAAGTGGTACTTGAAACCTAAATTCCCTGTGGAGACGATATTTGGATCTTAAATTTACTTATCACTTGCTGCAATCCTAGTGCACTTGCTAGTATAGATTGCTAACATCACAAGCTTAACCACAAGGGAGCATAACTACTTGGACAAACCTTGTCAATAAATTTCTTACCAAGTATTTTCCTCCATCTAAGGCTACCAAACTAAGAGGAGAGATCACATTATTTGTACAACAAGAAGGAAAATCTTTATATGAAGCTTGGGAAAGATATAAGGAGCTCGTAAGGAAGTGTCCACACCATTGCATACTGGAATGGATGTAGCTAAAAACTTTCTACAATGGAATGAGTCTAGCCACTAGAACCATGGTTGAAGCAGCTACAGGAGGATCTTTAAATACCAAATCTTTAGAGGAAGCTCAGAGAATCATTGAAATGATGGCCTCATCAATGTACCAAAATTCTAATGCAAGACATTCTACAAGGAACAATGGATATGAAGCTAAAATTCTTGAGACTTTTCTTGCGCAGAACCAGCTACAAAACTAAAAATTTTCAAAGCAAATTGCTACATTAACTCAGCAAATAAGCAATCTCCAAGTTAGTCCTATTCCAAATATTCAACTTGCTTGTGATTTTTATGAAGGAAATCATGCCAATTATGCATTTGATGCACCTACAACTGAACCACAAGAGTAAATCAATTATATAGGAAATTTTCAGAGGCAACAACCAATGTTCCCACTTGATTTTCAGTATCCCAATAGCAGAAATCAGCAATACTATAATTGGAATTCTCAAAATTATGCTGTAAAGAATTCTAATTCTGCTATTCCTTTTTCTAGTGCATGTCCAACAACTCAACAACCATTTTTTTAAGGGAACCCAGTCACTTAACCTCAAAGAAATTCAAAGTTTTCCAAACCAATGACTGAGAGAATGAGTGAAATGGAGGAAGCAGTGTTGCAGTTCATGAAAGTGACTCAAACAAGCTTCAAGCATCAAGAGTCTTCCATGAAAAAACTTGAAACTCAAATTGGATAGTTGGCTGAGCAACTATCTAGCAGAGATGAAGGGAGATTTCCTAGCAATACAGTGGTCAACCCAAATGAGCAATGTCAAGCTGTAATGACTAGGAGTGGAGCTATTGTAGGGAGTCCCAAACCTGCAGAAAAGAGAACAAATAATTCAGGCATGAAAGAGAAATTGAAATCTGATTTGGATGAAGGAAAATTTACTTTACTGAAGAGAGAAAGTTCAGAAAAAAAAAAAAAAAAAAGGTTTCTCCAAAGGCTATAAGAAAGACAAAGAGGCAACTACTTGAGAAAGCAAGTCAACTCATTGATAAAGTAAAATACAAGATGCTTTTCTATCCTTAAAGAGTGCAAAATCCTAGACAAGAAAAATAGTTTAAGAGGTTTTTAAATGTCTTTAAGAAACTTCAAATAAATATCCCTTTTGCTGAAGCACTTGAACAAATGCCCTCTTATGCCAAATTTATGAAGGAGCTATAATCTAAGAAAAGAAGACTTAAGAATGATAAAATAGTCCTTTTAATCAAGGAGTGCAATGCTATATTACAAAGGAAGCTCCCTCAAAAAATTAAAGGATCCATGTTCCTTTAGCATTCCATGCTCTATTGAAAATTGTACATTGGGAAAAGCTTTGTGTGATCTTAGGGCAAACATTAATCTCATGCCTCTTGCAATCATGAAAAGACTTGAAATAGAGGAAGTCAAGCCAACTAGTATCATTGTACAGCTTGCGAATAGATCTTTCACATATCCTTATGTTATTGTAGAAGATTTGTTAGTTAAGATTGACAAGTTTATTTTTCCTGCAAATTTCGTGATTTTAGACATAGAAGTAGATGTCGATATTATATTGATTTTGGGCAGACCATTCCTAGCCATGGGGAGAGCTTTAATTGATGTTCAAACGGGAGAAATTATGTTAAGAGTGCAGGACGAAAAGGTTATCTTTAATATTTTTGAAGCACTCAAGCATCTTAGTGATGATAGTACTTGCATGAGGATTGATTTTTTAGACTCTATTACTTTACCTCATTTTATTGATGATGCTAATGAAATTTCAATATTAAGGGAAATTATATTTACAGAGAATTCTTATGCTACTAAAAAGAAAGAAAATATTAATTAGAATATGTGCAGCAATTGGATACTTTGCCAATTGTCCCTTCTACAGAAAATCCAGCGAAGGAAGAATTGAAAAATGAAGCAAAAGAAGATAAGACTGAGAAATTTGAGATGAAACAACTGCCCTCTCACTTGAGATACTCTTTCTTATACCAACAACATGAAAATACAATGATTATTAGCAATGATCTTAAGGGAGAAAAGAAAGAAAAATTGTTGAGAATTCTTAGAGCTCATAAGTCAGCAATTAGCTGACATATTTCAAACTTGAAGGGCATCAACCCATTCTTTTGTAAGCATAGAATTCTGTTTGAAGAGCACTATAAACCAGTGGTACAGCCACAAAGAAAATTAAATCCAGCCATAAAAGAAGTAGTGAGAAAGGAAGTGATGAAACTTCTAGATGCAGGAATTATTTACTCTATTTCGAACAGCCAATGGGTTAGTCCAGTCCAAGTTATCCCTAAGAAAGGAGGGATGACCATTGTGCCTAATGAGAAAAACAAATTGATCCCTACAAGGATAGTAATAGGATGGCGTATGTGTATTGACTACAGAAAATTAAATGATATAACTAGAAAAGATCATTTTCTATTGCCATTTGTAGCCAAATGCTAACGAGGCTGGCTGGTCATGTGTTTTATTGTTTTTTTTTATGAATATTCTGGTTACAATCAAATAGTTATGGACCCTATAGATCAGGAGAAGACTGTGTTTACATGTTCCTTTGGAGTTTTTGCTTATAGAAAAATGTCCTTTGGGCTGTGCAATGCTTCAGCTACACTCCAAAGGTGTATGCTCTCTATTTATTCTAATCTAGTAGAGAAAATTATTGAAGTATTCATGATGATTTCTCTATTTTTTGAAATTCTTTTTATGACTGTCTAGCTAATTTGTTTACTATTTTGCAGAGGTGTCAAGACACAAATTTGGTTTTGAATTGGGAGAAATGACATTTCATGGTCCAAGAAGGCATTGTCCTTGGCCATAGAATTTCTAAAAAAGGAATAGAGGTGGATCAAGCAAAAATTGAAGTTATTAGTAAACTATCTCCACCAATTAATGTGAAAGGAGTTAGGAGTTTTTTAGGTCATGCTGGTTTTTATAGAAGGTTTATTAAGAATTTTTCAAAAATTGCAAAACCTCTTAGTGATTTGCTTGTGAAAGATGCTAATTTTGAGTTTGGTAACTATTGTTTGCATGCATTTTTTGTTTTGAAAGAGAAACTTATTTTGAACCTATTCTTGCAAAACTTTATTGGAATTTACTATTTGAATTAATGTGTGATACAAGTGATAGTACAGTAGGTGTTGTTTTAGGATAGAGAAAAGATAGGAAATTGCATGTTGTTTTAGGATAGAGAAAAGATAGGAAATTGCATGTGATTTATTATTCTAGCAAAGTTTTTAATTCTGCACAAGTAAATTATACAATTACTGAGAAAGAACTCCTTGCCATTGTGTTTACTTTTGATAAATTTATATCATATTTGATGGGATCAAAAGTTATAGTCTATACTGACCATTTTGCTCTCAAATATTTTCTTTCCAAACAGGATGTCAAGCCAAGATTATTAAGATGAATCTTATTGCTACAAAAGTTTGAATTGGAAATTAGAGATAAAAAGGAAAGGAAAATGGGGCAGCTAATTATCTGTTCAGACTTTCATTGGATGACTTAACCTCTAATTCCTTGGATGTTAATGAGGAATTTCCTGATGAAAGACTCTTAGCTGTAGAAGATATACCTTGGTTTGCTGACATAGCAAACTTTAAGGTCACTCAATTCCTTCCAAAGAGGCTAAGTTGGCAACAAATAAGTTTCCACATGACAGTAAATTCTATGTTTGGGAAGACCCTTGTTTGTTTAAAATTGGGGTGGATGATCTACTAAGAAGGTGTATCCCACAAATTGAACAAGCTAAAATATTGTGGCATTGTCGTAATTCAAAATATGAAGGCTACCATAGGAGTTCAAGAGCTGCTACAAAAGTCTTACAAGTAGGATTTTTCTAGCCTACACTCTTTAAAGATGCAAGAATTATGCTGAAAAGTTGTGACAAGTGCCAAAGGACAAGCAACATCTCTAGGAAGCATGAGCTTTGACAAATATTTTGAAAGTAGAATTGTTTGATGTTTGAGGAATTGACTTTATGGGACCTTTTCCTATGTCTTTCTCTTATGAATACATTCTTGTGGCAATTGATTATGTTTTCAAGTGGGTGGAAGCTATCCCAATAAGAACCAATCAAGCCAAAGTAGTGATCTCTTTTATTAAAAGAAATATCTTTGCTAGATTTGGAGTAGCTAGATTTTTAATTAATGATGGAGGTGCTCATTTTTGTAACAGGCATCTTGAATAAGTTCTAGCAAAGTATGGAGTGAAACATAGGGTGGCTACACCCTATCATCCACAAACAAGTGGATAAGTAGAAGTATCAAATAGAGAAATTATGTAAATTTTGGAAAAAGTAGTGAATAATTCAAGAAAAGACTGGTCAAAGAAATTGGATGACTCTCTATGAGCATATAAAACTGCCTTTAAGACTCCAATTGGTATATCACCATACCAATTAGTCTTTGGAAAGACATGTCACTTACCTGTTGAGCTGGAACATAAAGCTTATTGGGCCACCAAGTGGCTAAATTTTGACTTGGCCAATGCTGAAAAGAAAATACTACTATAGTTGTATGAGCTGGAGGAATTTAGGCAGCATACCTATGAAAATGCCAAGTTGTATAAGGAGAAAATCAAGAGAATCCATGATAAATTCATTTTAAGAAGAGAGCTCAAACCTTGACAGTTGGTTCTATTGTTCAATTCAAGACTGAAATTATTTCCAGGGAAGCTTAGATTAAAATGATCTGGACCTTTTTTTGTCAAGGATGTATCTCCCTATGGTGTAATCTTAATTTAGGATAAAAGACACATAGAGAGTTCAAGGTCAATGGCCAAAGACTGAAAGTTTATCATGGAGAGGCATTTACCAAGAACATGTATTGTATTAATTTGGTTTCTCAAGATTGAGAAACATGAGGCATCAAGCTAGTGATGTTAAAAGAGCATTTGTGAGAGGCAACTCACATTTCTAACCTTTTACACTTGTTAGAATTTTGTTTAGGAATTGTTAATTTTGGTTGATTTTGAATTTT